CACTAGGTTTTCTTTGTTATTCATAGGGTTGTATATACCATAGAAACGTAAAGTTTGTTAGTTACTTTTTACGGCTCTCGGGCTGTATATAGCGTAATGCCTCCGTTCTCGGTAACTAACTCTTACAGATTTCAATTCACGTGGTTTTCGCAAAAACTGAATAGACTTAATGAATGTTTTCTTAGTTGGGTTTTGAACAATAGAATCCTCTTCTCTTGAGACTTTTTCATGGACTGTTGAAATTAGTTTCCTTTAAGAAAACCTGTTCATGCGAAAGCGAGCAATCGAAATTTGAATATTGTTATCAAATATTCTTAGCAGTCATTCTGGAAACGATGTCGAACAGTGACGATTTGTTTATAGCTCAAAATACGTTTGACATCATTCCTTTGACGAACTTTGATATTGACGATTTGCTATCGGATTTGGAACTCCGCATGCTTCTTCCCGCAAATAACGATGACAAAGTCTGCAGATGGGAAAAAATGAGAAAAATTACAATAGTTTTTGATGTTGAACTCGCTCGAAAAAATACGAGGGAAGGATTCAAGAAGGAACAAACTAAAGTACCAAATGGCCGTGTGTACGTGCTTGGATAGAATGGACCAAGTCACACCGATTACTTCTGATTCATACACGTTGGTTAATTCCGAAGAATAGATTCTTTTAAAAGTAACGGCGAAGATCTTGGTTATTGTTGTCTCTATTCTCTGATGAACATATGAAGAAAAGCTGCGGGACTCGAACTTATTACACTCTAAATCTCCTCAAGTTTTGCTGGCCGCACTGGTCTTTTTTAGGGGAAAAATAGTTTAGTTTACTTAGTTTATTTGATGTTCAGCAGGGAAATGTGGGGTTGATGAATTGAATTGAATAACTCGTTATAAATTCAGCGGGCTATATATGAGTRATTCCGGTCACTCACATATAGACCGCTGAATTTATAACGAGCTATTCAATTCAATTCATCAACCCCACATTTCCCTGCTGAATATCAAATCCCTCCCCGRCTTTAAGTTTYYATGGTATATACAACCCTATGAATAACAAAGGAAACCTAGTGAATTGGAAACTAATGGAGTGTAGTGCCCTTTAAGTGGAGGATTCAAATAATTCAGGAGAGAAATTTGACATCTCGTATTGAAAGAGCTCTTCTGTATTTTGAAATCTTCCACAATCTGCAACTATGATGAGTCTTTGAAAGAACAGTTGGGGATCTACTTGCGCTTTTCCGTCTGGTGGCTTAATYTATATCTTTGAACCTAATGATGTCACTTCATTCTTTTTAAAAAAACTCTTTTACTCGATCTCTTATCGACAATCGTGTCAAAAACTTTACTTTCTTGGCATCATTAGGGACTGTGCAATAATTATAAGGAAGGAAGGGGGGGGCGTAAAACCAGATTTCTCAAGCAGAAAATCAGCCAGAACCCCCCTCCGAGGCATAAGAAAATAGCTCTTACCCCCCCTGCTATACTAGAAATAACCTCCGACCCCCCCAACTTTTAACCTTAGTTATAAAACAAGCACAAGCGAGTCGATTCAACTGCAGCAACCCAAAATTCACTAAAGACGAGCCCATATGCAAGAGGTGGCTTACTCATCTGGACCTAAGTAACAAATACTTTCAGGAGGAGCTGACGTGGTCTGTTCTGCTAAATAAATGTTCTTGTATGAATTTGTTCCTGGGAAAGGTTTTCAAGGTCCAAAAAAGGCTTATGTTACTCAGGGGCGGATCCAGGGGAGGGGAAAACGGGGAATATCCCCCCCCCCTCCCAAATGAAAAAAAATTTATGATAATAAAAAAAAATCCCCTTTCCCCCAAAAAAAATCCGATAAAAATATGATTTTTAGTTTTCAATCCTGTTGATGTATCTAGTTGAAATATAGAAACTCAAAACAATATAATTAAAAATATAAACTTAATTAACGAAAACTAGAAATATAAGAATAATTACAATTTAGATTGAAAACAAGGCTTTCCAGCTAAAAAAATTTGATCAGTTGTATTACAAAGAACTAAATGCTTTGTTTTCAATTTAAATTGTGATTTCTTTGCCCCGGTTTCAATAGCCGCACTGCAAAAAAAATCTGAAGTATTTCATTATAGTATAAGTTTTAAAAAGAGTGGCCAATGTGAAATTGATGTATCTTGACACGTTTTATTTCCTTTTCATTTCATTTAAGTAACACTTACGAAAATAGCAAACTTTTTTCATGCCGGTGTTTAATATTATTTGGAAAATAAATTCCCCCCCCCTCTAGAAAATTCCTGGATCCGCCCCTGTAACGTTTTTATGGTCAAAAA